GGGGGGGCATTCAAAACCCCCTGTGATTAGAGATGGTCACTAAGTCAGCAACAGGAAAAACACAATGAAAATAAAGAACAACAGACGAGGACAAAGCAATCACCTAGAAAACAACAGGAGATCACAAAAGAATGTCAAATCAATAAGCACCCCTTCCTTTGCTCTGAATGCACCTTTATGCATAGCAGCATTTCACCAGATAGAGATGGAAGAGATGGTGCTTAACGCTGACCCTGGAGACTTGCCCAGAAGTTTTTACATCGCTCAGCACCCTGTGCATAAAAGGGCAGCAGTGGTGACACTCCCGGTGAACTCCCTCTGGCCAAGATGTCTGGCAGATATAGCTAAAAAAGCTGGTTTGGGAAAATATTGCCTTTTTATAGCTTATCTCAGTACAGACAGCTGCCTCACACCTCTAGAAATAGCAGGATATAACAGCCATGTTTGCAGGGACAGATTTTAAAGGTTCCATCTTCTAAGAAACAACCTACACATCCAGAAACAGGAGGCCAGATTTGTTTTGATACTGGAACCCCCTTCCATATGCTAAGCATGCCCACGGATTTGCAAAAACCCTGCTCTGAAAATGGGATGTTCATTCAGCAACAGGCGATAAGAAACTTGCATTTGCCTTCCTATAGAGTCTGTTCCCAGCGCATTCGGCAGCAATATAGCACATGATTAGGTTGATATTGCCTTTTGCTGAAAATAGTTGGCATTTTGTAAGTAAAACACTGGTGGAGGAGAGCATTAAACACTGAAAAAATAAGGCTATTAACTTAAATACAAATACTCTGCAGACACAGCAAATCAGCACCTCTCTGTTGTTCCTTTTAAGATAGAGCAAGCCAGGATCAGATCCCAAAGCACTGTTATGATTTGTTTGAGGTGATAAGGACTGAGCCACAGGATTTATTCCTAGGTCCGGCCCGCAGCTGCAAACCTCAGTTCCAGGAGCCAGGAGGAGCTTCTTCAGCCCTCTTGACTCTGTCGTGTTTGTGAGTGGAACAGTGACAATGTTATTTACCTACCTTTTAGCAATAACAAGATTTTTAGATAAAAAGCACAAAATTCCCATGAATTTAAACGCTGGAAGAGCTGATGCCAAGGATGTAAATGGCTCTAAATCTAACAAGGCATGGCAAAAGTTCCATGGTACACCTTTTACTAATAACAGCTGGACCAGTTGTCTACAGCACCTTCCTCATCATGAGATTTTTTTTTTTTAACTGAATGAAGGGGTACTAAAGACAACAACCTGCTGTGAAATGACCAAAATTCCCATGCAAACAACTCATTAGCAGTGTTCAAATGCAATTTAAATTACTAGTTGTTCAAGTGCTCCTCAATTTCATGGTAAGTTTCCAAGGAAAATTACATGCTATGTACTATTTAATTGATTGTTTTCTACTTCTTAACATCCATTTATTCCCTCCTCCTGTCTTTTCCTTAATTTCAAGGGATAATGATGACTTTTCAGGGAGGAAAGGGGAACAGCTAATCAAGTTGAAGAGGGATTTACCTGAAGAACAAGCATGTAGGAGGAAAGTGGCTGCCAAAACCAGGCAGCTTCACCAGAACTTGTCCCTCTGATATTTTAGCAGGAGAGGTATGAGACAGCACAGTGCAAGGACTCTTTTCCTCTCCACCACAGGCAGCCAGGCTTGTGAAACCTGATATTTCTTTAAAACACAGTCATCCCCCACCACGACAAGCAGTAAGCGCAGTTAACTATTCGAGGACATTGGTAAAGCAACAGGAGCAACCTGTTTCCTCTTCTGGGCACACTAGTCCTTGAACCAACACTCTCACTGGAGGCAAACAAGTTGTTCTCATTTGGGAGATCTCATCCCAAATGCAAATTCCTAGCTTACAGAAGCAAAGTCCCCCCCCAAAAAGCTGACTGAAGAATTAGGCTGTGAGTGAGACCTCCTGCTGCTTGCAACAGCTGGTACAGGAGAACATGTATTATAAAGCTAATAACAACAGACATTTCTTAAAAGCCTGCACTCCGCTCAGGTCCCAGGAAGGAGCAGCCTCACAATTGGGTAAAGTGCCATCTGGAAATTTCTGAAGTAATGATACATGGTGGGATCACGTCACGAGCTAGTAACTACATCAGCTTCATGAAATGCTCAATGCCACTTGGTTTTACCTTTAAGCAATCGATGCAGAAATATTTTGTGCTCAGAACAGTATGACTTTATTACAGTAAACAAGATGAGTTCAACAGTATCACACTGCACAAGGCCACAAAGTGTCCACCTGTCTGCAAGAGCTGAGCATGAACCATCCCATGGAACACTTTTCCTGAATTTGCCACACAGTGCCCTAGTTTCTATGACTGCACACCAGAATGATGCTGCTTTTCTCAGTCTTCAGGCACTATTTAGTGTTTAAGGGCTCTGAAACCTTTGCCTGAAGACATGCAAAGTACCAAATGTGCAGAGGCTTCTAACCTTCACCCTTTCCATGCCCATGTGTGCTAACCCCATGCTGCCTGAGGCAGCTTCTCTTACCTGCCCAAGGGGTACATACGTCCAGCCCTTAGTGCATACTAAACTCCCTCACAGCGCTCAACTCACACAGTGTTGGTGTCACCCCTTTGCCACATCCCATACAACACCAGATCTGGATCAATCTGGGCAACACCTGAGATGAAGGATGAGCTGCCAACCAAACCTCCTTACATGGGAGCTAAAGCAAGTCCTCTGTGTTTAACACATTGTTAGGAGTGACCGAGAGAAGCTTAAGAAAGGCAAGCATGGAGCTCTCTGAGCAGCTTGAGGTCCAGTGCCATGGAAAGCTTCTCAGACTCCAGTGTTTACTGGTGCCAGGCTAAAAAATCTTTAGTCAGCTGTATTAATTTACAAGGTCAGCCCTTAATGGCTCTGTTCCTGGAGCAGGAGAAAATCCACTGTGGATCCTGGTTAGCATCAGTGGTCACTGGATCTGTTCAGGTCCTGGAGAAACACCAGATGGAGAGCCCTGGCAGCTGCAGTCCCAGCTGGGCATTGTTCATTCTCCAGAGCTCCCCCAGCTCTGCCCAGCACCCATCAGAGAAGGGGGACACGGGCAGCACATGGGGAGCTCATCCTTCACAGACCATCCAGCTCTCAAGTCACGTCCTTGCAGCGATGAGATGTTGCACAGAGAAGGATCAGCATATGAACATTAAAAGTCACAACATGCTTCCCCAGACTTGACAGACTAGCACTTCCAGAGCCCTGGTTTACAGCACCCAGGCACTGCTCATCCTTGTCTTCCAACAAGCAGTCTGTCCTGGTGAGCAGGAAAGGGAGGAAACTGCGAGGGGAACAGAACATTATCATTTCCAGTCTCATCGTGCTGTTGCCAAAACACCAAGCTCAGCCACGAGCAGCTGGAGAAGCCTGGGTGCATCACATCCACGTGCCACCAGAAGCACGGCGCCATGTATGCACAGGCAGAGGCAAAGCACAGCACACAAGGAGCGACACAGACCACCCTCTTACTGCAGGAATTCCACAGCTCGGCACCACCATGCACAACAGAAGGATGAGTGGCTGCTGGCCAGTTGCTGGGCTGAAGCTTCAGGTGCTGTGACAGCTCCATACACATTCCCAGTGCCCTGTCTCCTAACTCATCACCTCTCCTGCCTGTTCAGGCTGTACATGCTTTAGGACAGCAGCTCTTTCCTTTTCACTGGTACCAAGCTCAGCCCAGCCAGGCCCTGACTCCCAAAGCTCCAGTAATCCTAGCAGCTTGTTGAAATAACTAGAAGGAAAATGCAGCTGAAGTCTACAAACCCTCAACACATCCCTACTGCACTCCTTCACCACTTTTTGGGGCCCAGTGCTTTTTATCTCACATCCATCCTCATGCAAACTAAGCCAATTATCTTTCCCTGTTCAGAATAATCCAGACAGTTTTGTACCTCAAGGACCTGCTACAAATCCACATCTCTGGAAAAACCAAACCTCACAATGAGTATTAATCCCTTTTTAAAAGGGCAAAAGAAAATCAATAAGAGGTTTAACTTTCTAACAAAGGTCTGAAATTTAAAATAGAGAGAGTATGATAACGACAGGTTTGAAGCAGCCTAAAATACCAGTTAGCTGAGAAGATACAAGGATTACTAACCAGCAGTGGGAACTATAAAGGAGTTGTCACCAATGCTCCTTCCAAAGTAAAAGGATGAAGTGCAGTGCCTTCCATTCGAGGTGCAGGACTGGCAGCTACACAACCCCCAGAGCAGCATTAAAAGCACTCTATATATGTTACATGCTCTAAATGACAAGAGGAATGCAAGATGGTGAATCTCTGCTCAGATTCCCCACCATGGTTTTAGCTGGGAAAATGAGAAGCAGAGCATCTTCCAGGTTACCCCCACATCCCTGACTGTCTGGATGAACTGCAGCTTCCTTTCAAAAAAGAGAAAGGAAAGGGAGTGAAAAAAGAAAAGCAGTCAGCTACAATATCAGATAGATTAAAAGCTTCACACTATAGAAAAATACAGAACAACAGGAAAAAACAAACACTGAAACTTTATCCAGTTACAGTAGCTAAACTTCAACTAACAGTTAAATATTAACATTTGAGAGAAATATATCCATGCATTATGCAGCCTTTTTAACACACACTATTGCTTAAGAGACAGAAATCATACATAAGCTGTTTTCCTTGCTGACCACATGCATATATACTCATTTAACTCTACAGTGCTCTGCTGCCTTGCTGCATTAACCAATGAAACTAAAAGGAAGAGTGTGACGGAATGGGAGCTGGCTTAAATTATCTTTAAACCTACTCCTGAAGAAACATTTTGCCTTTGAGACCAATCCACTAAGTTATCTTTCTCTACTACAGAAGGTTTCATTGGGTCCCTTGCTGTTGACTGGTGACCCACATGCCTGTCTCTACCAGCAAGGCACACAGTTTGATGCAATCCATTTGACTAAATACCACCAAAAAAAAAAAAAATCCCAAGTTGTTTGCTAAAACAGCAGTGATGCACTTACCAGCATCCAGGCAAGCTCCTTCATTAACACGCTTCCCTCTCGAGCAGATCAAATTTAGAACAAGGTCCAGGAGCAAGAGAGAACTGAAAACTGACCACAACAAGCTTCCAAAACAAGAAAGGGGGGGGGTAAAAAAAAAAAAACCTTACTACAGGAATTCAAATCCTGCTTCCACCAGACCCTGAGTCACCTCCCCTCCCTTGCAATAGATCAGAGCAATGGGTAAACATTTCCAAATATGGAGATCAAAACTCCAAAGGATGTCAAAAAAAAAAATCACCCTTCTCTCCCTGGCTTTGGCACTGTGATGACTTGCCCCTCTGAAGCATAAGCTGAGCACACTGCCTTTGCTGACCTACACACAGCCTGGTCATGGGGCCCCGTGTCACCATCTTGAACTGTGCTTTGAAGACTACTGGCTCAATGGGTGACACTGCATCTCTGTCCCCTCCCAGGGATGCACGGGAAGATGCAACGGGAGCAACTCCAGGAGTCATTGCCCTTTGCCCCCTGAAAAAAACCTCTCTCTCTCATCTCTCAACTCATCAGCAGAAAACTTGCAGAACTACTTTTTAGAGTGTTCTTTGAAGGCAAATAGGCAAATTCAGGCTGTGGTTATAGCACCACTAGCTTGGCATCAGAAAAGGCAAGGCTCAGCCCTCCGTCACACTACGGAGGTCCTGCTGCCACATCCCACACCAGCTGCTCATCTGGTGCAAGGAAACCTCCCCTGATCTGGCTCATCAAGCTGGTGCTTTGTAAAACGTGTCCCTGCAGAGCCTGCATGCACACCAGAGCAATATTCCCATGCCAATGCTCCCACAAGCATCAGTCCTCGGCTGCAACGGCTGACCAGCATGGAACAACAGCCTCCTGGTAGCTGCAGCCATCGCTCCAGGAGCAGGCAGCCTCTCAGGAATGTGCAAAGCAGGACATTTTCAAGGGGAATAGGCTGCCGAGGCGAGGCAATCCAACCAGACCAAAGTGATTCCCCAGCACCACCCACAAGATGCTATTGAATTTATAGGGAAGGAATTCCAGAGCTGACTCTGCCCATGTATGGCCAAAACAAACTGTAAAAAGCGACATTTTAGTACATCTGGTTTCCACTGGTGCTGAAGCACAGGCTTCGGGAGGAGCTGCGTTGACAGAGGCTCTACAATTACCTCCAGGAACTGAGCAGGGGTCAGACAGCAAGAGTTTAGCACCCGCTATCACAGATGACAAGAAAACATGAAAACCTTTGCTTTAGAAGACAAACCATATGTGTTACCCTGCTATCACTGCAAAAAAATAAACCGTGCCAGAGAGCACCAGCACATTCATTACACTGGTAGTCCTGAAGGCAGCTTTAAAGATCCAGCAGTCCAAGTGGCACTAAGTGGTACACCAGGACAACCTCAATGTACTGCAGGTTGGGACTAGCTCTCAATGGGTAGCTGATCAATTGTTTTTCAAAAGACCCACTAAAACCTCCCCCAGAGCTCCAGCTACCAGCAGGGATACCAGGAGCTTTCTCCATGGTCAGAAACGGGAGATACTCTGAGCACTGTAGTCACTGTGCAAGAAGATACTCAAAAACTTAAGGTAAGAAGGGTCAGGTAGGTGCAAGTTTTATGAATTCTGACTCGATTTTCCAGCCCCTTGCAGAAAACAATTCCCAAGGTATTGCTTCTTGCAAGGACAAGCAGTGGAATGAAGTAGAGAATTATCTGTCAAGAAAGGGAGCCAAAGCACGAAAGGGGAACACCTGGATGAGCACAACAGGCGTGCACCAGCCCTTACAGCTCTGGGGTCCTACAGCACGAGCAGATCAAAGTTCTCCCTAACAGTTAAATGCCACCACCTCGCCTGCCCTGCCAGCAGGGAAATATTAGCTGTGTCAGCGCGAGAGGCCAAGGGCTTACGGAATGGGAGAGGAATGCAGGCTGCAGTGGCACACACGGAGGGGACAGGGAAATGAAACCCAGGGGAATGTGGGTTGCTCACACTGCCTCTGCCTTTGCACAGGGGTCAAGCAGGGTACGTTTTATGGCTCTTAGGGCTGAAACCTGGGCCTAATGCTTTTGTGACCTTAGAGGGACTCCCATGTCAGAAACAAATATAGCTGTTAGAGGAGGTGGGAGCTCAGGGGCCTGAGCACATGAGGACAAGCCATTTCCCAGCTCCTGGCAGGCAGCCCAGTGCTGCTTTTCAATATGTGCAAGTTGTACCCATCGGACCGGGAGTGAGCACGTGTCTCCTCCGAGCAGCATTTGCTCATGGGAGACCCACAATGCAGCTACTCCCGCAGCTTCACGTTCCCCAAGACAGCACTAGGATCTCCCCTCCACTTCCCAGCTGAAATGGCATTATACTGTCTCCCTCTGCTTACTTTAATCAGAGGTACCTAATTGTGAGCTGGTGTTCAGTGCCTCTGCTACAGAGCACCTTCCACCCCAAATGACAGAGAGGAGAGAAACAGAGGGACAGACACATCCATGTCCAACCACAGCCCCATCGGGAGTTCCCTGTTACCTGGCAACACAAATCCCCCTCCTTGCCACAGTTCTAAGGCTGGGAAGTGAAATCTTGGGGGCCTGGGAATAAAATCCAACTCAAGCCTCCTGCACAGCAGTACAGATCATTATAAAGCAGCCACTGGATCAGGTATGGCTAATTTCATTTAAATGACATTACATAAGCAAGAGAATTGAGAATATCTGATTCATAAAAACATCTTGAAGGAGCAGAGAGCACAACTTGCCTGGCTTACAGAACACAGGGATTGCTGCAGCATTACAGGGATACAGACCACATAATGTAGACAGCAAGGACCAGGGATGCTCATACATACACATGCACAACTACACACACAAACTCCTATTCCCCTCCACCATGCACAAAAGCAGACTTAGGACTTGCAAGCTGAAGTCCTGTGCAGCCAAAAGCCAGCACAAATGTTTGTGACAGTTCCACAGGCAAAGGCAAAAACCGGGTGCAGGGGAATAAATATAGAAAGAAGTCAGGCAGGCAAAGCAGGTGCTGGCTTGTAAAACCTTGGCCAAAAAGGCTTCCCAGGAGGTTGAATCTGGTAGTTTTGCAACAGCTCCACAGAAAGACAGAAGAGACAGAAAGAAAAAAAAAGAGAACATGAATGCATATGCATTCTTTTATCGCCATATATAGTATATACAGACATTTGGTATATACGCCCCCAAGCTCTCATATGCCACTGTATAGTATATACTATATATGCATTGCCATCTTTGTTTCCATGTGCCTACACTTGTACTGTGTGTGTGTGTGTGTGCGTGTGTGTATCTGCATTTCTGGTGCATGCATTTGTCATTACCCCCACATCGCCTATCCGTGCGTGCTGTGACACAACGCACCGCTCAGCAGAGCATGTCTAAAGCCTCAGCACCATAGCCTGGAATGACTTCTGGACACTCACAGTTTTTCACTACTGAGCCCTTCCCCACCAAAGCCTCTGGGTGTAAGCACCGCTAGGCAACCATCAGTTTGTCTCCTCTTTCCCAATGATCCCACTCTCCCTCCAAACTTTGAGATCTCTAAACAAGGTGCCACTGACAAAAGAGGCGTGACACCCTTCTGAGAAGTTGCCCTTTGTGCCTGTGAATCATGTTTACGTACCAGTTCTCACGCTGCAAAGCCTTACTGGTGGGATGAACTCAGAGCAGGGCGTTTGGAAACACGCAGGGCTCCTCCAGACTCACGACTTCGGGTTTCTTTCCCAGCCCTGCAAAGAGAGAGACACTCAAGTGATGCACACTGGATGGGCCTCCCGACGGCTTGTCTCCAAAACTTGCAGTTTAACCCACACAGCTTCTGGGATACATAGCATTTTCCTCCCCAGCTTTCTTAAGCAGAAGCCTTCAGATTCCTGGACTCCTTTCAGCACCCCCAAAAGCAAGCCCAACCACCCTGAACTGGGCTAACAACCAGCAATGACCAGAAATGTCAGATGCCATAGCTTGGCCAACAACTCACACCTTCTCAAGCCACCACTCCTTTACTGCTCTTAATGCCACTGAGAAGAGGGAGGGACAAGGAGATGCAAAATGAGGCATAAAATAGTAGAATAGGATGAATCCATCACACATCTTCCCAACCTCAGGCACAGTGAGGGAGCTAGAAGGCATCATCTAATGCATTTTGAAGCTCATGGGGTTCACCACTGCTGTGAGCAGAGTTACACACCCAGCCCTCCCCCTCAGCACAGTCTTTTTTCTAAGGAGCTCTGCCCAGTTACCATTGGGGACTGTCTCACTCTTTCTGGTAGCTGAGAAGCAGACACCACCCTTTCTTGATGTGACCAGCTCAGTGTTGGTTTTTTGTTTCTGCAGAAGATGAAGGTAGAGCAGAGGGGAAAACCAGGCCACGTGACCACCACTTTGAATGTGGCATGCCAGGACACATGGCAGGGTGCAGCCCACGGAGACCAGCAGCATCTGAATCGCACACTCCTTCCTGCCCCCAGCCAGCATCCCCTCCCAGCCACATCCTGGTCACTCTGACAGCCCTGTCTCAGCCCATGACAAGCACAGGCTTGGCCTGTCATCTCAGCTCAGCAGAGAAAGTTACTGCTATTTGCTGTTGTAACTATGGAAAAGCTCAATTCAGACTTGCATTTGTTGTACCTGCAATGCTCATGAGAGTGCATGTGAGCCCACACATCTACAACCAACATGCAGCAAAACACAAAAGCTTCTTGGTGGCTCACAGTCCAGGTCGCTCCTCCTTGTCACACACCGAGATGCCTTCCTGCCGCTGCCAGCACCCCTTGTCTCCCACGCCACACTTGTTGCCACAGCAGCCAGGAGAGCAACAGGGCTCTTGCATCTCCCAAGCAGTAGTAGATCTCCACTATGCCAACACCATAAGAGTAGACAGAGCTGCACCCTGTCCCAGCTCAGTCCCATGGTCCCTGTGGTAACACCCAGCCCTGATTCCCCACAGTGATGGGCAGGTATAAAAGTTCCCAGGACCATCAGTGCTCCCCTCAGGTGTGATGAGGACAAATTCAACTGGAGATTGCAATGGCCTCTCCCACTCACTGCAGACTTGGGATGAAGATGAGTAACTACAGGGTTTTACTGCTGGTGAACTCAGCCAAAGAGCAATTTTTCTTCATTCATCAGTGAGGAGACAAGTACAAGCAAATATTAAGGTTTTGTATGTTTACTTTTCATTTTAAAATGATGTAGAGTTACATACAATTTAGGTCCTTCCCACATGCTCCTGGCAAAATGCCCTTCGGTCTTATCTGCAAAGGCAGAAGACAACAACATTCCCCCCTGGTTCCAACACTGCTTCAGTTCAACTCATAACAGCACCTCCAGGAGCTCCAGCGAAGACAATACTTCCTGGGAATCAACCTGTGTTTAAAAAATCTTGGCTCAGGATTGTCTCTCTCAGGTTTAATTCACAAAATGTTTACAAGATCAGTGATAGGACCTCGCTAATTGAA